AATACTGTACTTTATAGCACACTCATCTATACATGGTCATTATGCAAGCCTATAGTATAAAGCATATCCCTGTTTTGCTACAGTTTTGGAGGAAACCTGGAAATGCAGTTTGAAAAAACAAACTGAAATAGTACAGTCATATTTTTGGTTCTTTCCCTTCAACAATATTAGATGTTTAATCGCACATTGCGTGAAATGCAATGGACTAAAGATATTTTTCTTCATGTAGGACTGTCAGTTGGAAATTCATGGCAGGACGTGTATTTTATTCTATGTTTCCTAAAAGGGAATCTATCTTGATTATTTAATTACTTTTGTCTTTTTTTATTATGTTAAAATGTAAATTGATGTAAATATATATAAAATGTGAAATATGTGAAATAAAACACCACGGTAATAGGACAAGAAAAAAAATCTTGATTTGTGAAGAGCTATTTATTGTTAACAATAGGCAAAATGGGCATAAAATCATGGTTTTGATATCATTATCAAATGTTATATACCTCACTTTAGAAATCCAGCCATCTGATTGGTCGAAATTGGAGTCGTGATTTTAGCCATTTCCGTAACGAAACGTAAAATGCCAAAAACCAGTCAATAGTCTTTTGAAAAACGCCTAGGGCACTTTTCAAAAGACTATTGACCGGTTTTGGCATTTTACGTATAGGCCTATATGCGTGAAATCTCAATGGGAAGGATTTTAGCACACAAACTCGAGTGGTGCGCGACCAGACACCCTATTAAGACTAGGTCTCGATAGCGTAAACAAACTTGATTACCATGCTTGGTAAGTCGCACATGTATTCTATGACCCTTTTCGGTATATAAAAGTTAAAATGACTGCTATAATATTCGAGGCATAGTTGTTTTTAAAGGCTCTCGGGGAGGTTACATCGTGCTATCACCCCTCGGCACACCTCGGGGCGATAGCACGATGTAACCTTCCCTTGAGCGTATACAACTATGTCTCTCATAGCAGTAATTATTACTGTACTATTATGCATTTGGGAACCGCTCCTGCTCATAATTATTTGCAATATTTATATCTAGGATAAACTTTTACAAGCACAGAGTTTTTCTTTAATGACTTCCTTCATAGGTGATGTGTGTAAATTAGCAAGGATTCGGCCAGGATAAACCACGCACACTTGAGAATTACAAGTTATTTATTATGGCAAAAGAAAGCTAACATGAGTGTAAATTTCATTCTGTCCAAAACCTTCGCCATTGTCAATGTGATGAAAGTGGGATAGTTCAAAATCTGTCACGTTAATTATTGTTCCTTTTCACCCCGTTTTACGGTGTTACTGAGGGATTCTAATTCTTATCCAGACACTACATTCAGCGTTGCATTACTTCTAAGACTGTGGTAAATAGGAGTTTTATAAATATTTGTATTCAATATCTCTGTCCGTTTCATTTTTTGATGCTTGACGCCGCTATACGCAGTGATGTTGGTCTCAAAATTCTACGTGTACGTGCTTTAAGGAAAGCATCGCAGTATATAATATACACATGTGTTTTATAGATAGGCAAGCCAATTATACATTGCATGCAAATGCTAATTAGTCTCTGCAACTGGTATGTTAGGAATTTCCGATAACATGTACTACCGCAGCGTGCCGCATATATTTGTAACGATGGTCTTTGTGTTACACTAATGTACTATACTTTGTTGGAAGTTAGTTGGGTGAGAACGGAAAGGAAGCCTGGCACACGATCATGAGTATACATTTTGGGCACCTTAAGTTAACACACACACTCAATACAGTCATGTTAATAATTATCTTAAAAGCTTATGTTTTGTTTCATTATATAGAAATCATTGGTTTTTATCAAAGGACGATTCTTCTTTTCCTGTCACCTCACACTCTCTCTTTATAATTTATATTATATGCCGATTGTTCTTTCCCTCATTTCTTGATTCTCCCCGAAAGTATTTTTCTCTCATGTCAAGGGCTTTTTCTAAACAAAAGTGTCTTTCTCGTCACACTCGGCCTTTGCGGTAGCTTTCCCTTTCTCTTTGAAATACCTTCTCAGCCTTCCTTTTTTAAGCTATAGGCCTGGTGATGGTACACTGTAAATGTACGTTTTTTGAAGAAGCATAATTATTACACAAAGCTTTCACTAAATTCACACTTGAATGTTTTCATTCTGTTAACAATAGATAGCTCAGGAGGATTTAAGTAGTAATTTACATAATAGGCTCGAAAATCACTCTTCACAAAGGCTCGGGTTAAGAGCCCATGGTACATGTGAGCACAGTCTGATCGCATTGCCATTACACAGTGGCCGAGTTGTATTTTACAGAACATTTTCTAAAGGTCGCAGACAAAATCTAGATATTTTTTATCGTCCGACAAGGACCATGCTTTTCTCTTTTATAAAACGGCTCCTTTCTCTATAAAGATACGTATATGAAGATAACAATGGATAATTATCAATTGACATGAATTAATCGTTTTAAACGATCTCTCCGTTCTCTAAAACTTGCTCTTTTGTCAGTTATTCTCTTTTATCGCTGCAAGAGTCTTGACTGCATAATATGTTGTCAACCAGTGGCGGATCCAGGAATTTCTGACCGGGGGGGGGGGGGGGGCACAAAATGGCATGGGGTGAAATCAGTAGCGTACGCAGGATTTTTTCTAGGGGGGGGGGGTTGACATTTTTAAATCGGGCCGAAAATTTCGCAACGACTCAGCCAACCGCTGAATAAGCGGGGGTAGGGGTGCATGTGCCACCTGTGCCCCCCTCCCCCCACCTGGATTCGCCCCTGAACAACGTTTATTCTTTGTCTCCTGCTGATATCGCATTATCTGATATTTTCTCTACATTCATTACTAAAGATATGTATGAAATTCTGTATACTAATATTGTAGCGTTATCGTTTTCTTGTCATATCGGAAAGGCTTAAAAAGGATTCCCTTTACGTTTATCAATCAATTAAACTTTTGTACTTGGAATGAGGAAAGCCTCACATCAATTTGCTATGAAGATTGTTATATTCGCTCGCAAGGTGGCGCCCGTCATGATACCATTTCTACCTACATGTACGTAGAGCTTGTCATTTAATCATTTCCTCCATAACTGTTTGGTTCCTCTCTCTCTCTCTCTCTCTCTCTTCCTCTTCCTTTCATTCTTTCTCTCTCTCCCGCTCTTCATATTCCGGAATTTTTTTTCCTCGATTTCTTCCCTGTTAAAAGTGGTTTATTAGTGGCAGCATGCTTCAAAAAAAAGCCATGTAACGCCGAGAATATTGAGAAAGGTTAAGGGAGAGAAGAGATACACACAAATTACTGAGGTCTATAAAATAGTCTGCACTGGAAGACATACCAAGACAACTAAGAGGGATAGACAGCATAACAGACAAAAAACAGACATCAACAGACTAGTGACAAATAAAAAATAAAAATTTAACTTACAAAATAATGACCAACACGACAATTAATTATTTTACGTGTTTGCATAATTTATATTGATGATAAATTGGAAAGGATCATAAACAGTCGTAAACAGTGAGACATTATACCATGATTTGAATCTCCATTGAAATATAACAAAAACGATTATCTTATTATTATGATTTCTATAGATTTCTATACATTTTATTCAATTTTTTCAACTCCTTGAGTACATGCTTTTGATAGGCCAACAATGCATACAAATTCACCCGCCAAAGTCGATGTACAACATTTACTTTACCCATGACAGATATATCGCATTTATAAAATATGATGATTATCCCTGTTAACAACTAAATTATTCATACTTTTACCAATTTTTGTAACTTTTTAAATACATGAAAGATTGATAAGTCCCCATTTATGTTGCTTGAGAATGTCTCTTATTAAATCTTACATTTAAAAGCATTCAAGAAAGGCCCTAATTAAACTAATCCACCTTTGATTCTTGAGTTCCGAAAGGAAAACATCAAATTTACAAAGAGTACGAATAATTGAATTGTTAACTGTGAATCACAATCAAGAACATGATCCCATATTACTACATCGTACTTTTTCGGCAACCGTCATAAAACACATAGTTTAAAAGGGTTTCATATAGCGAGTGAAGACAATAAAAAAATTTGTTTGATGATATTTTATTCCTTCCTCATAAATTCACATTACAAGAAATTATCACAATAAGTCATTTAGAAATCTTCGATACAAGACACTTCATGAATTACATCAATCAAAGAACAATGAACATAGACAAATCTCAAATTATACATGATTGTACATTTTTTTTTCTTTCATGTACCAGTTTATAATCCAAATAACAATATGGAACGTAAGAAGTTAAATAATCCCACCCAATTCATTTTGTATTTCCTTCCTCATCAATTGACATTACAAGAAATTATCATGATAAGTCATATAGAACAAGATCTTCGAGAAACTTAGATGTTCACACAGTGTACTGCGCCCTCTATGTCTTGCCCACTTTATTCAGGCCAAAAGTTGAACTCGGAATGCAGCAGTGTTGATATCGTATTTTTTTCCTGTGGTTATGGCACATTTTAAAGTAATTTCAATTTGTTATATAAAAAAAGCTATCCAAGGGTGAGCTTCTTTACTACTCACCCGAGTGGGAGCTTGTGTTTTTAAAGGGTTCATCATGCGGTATCTTAAACTCTCAATTTCGTACACTGTCGCTCATATAGTTGGAATATTTTTGTTTTACCCCAATTTATGGAATTATTTTAAAAATAATTTAAAAATAACAGATCTAGATAATAGTATACATTCTCAGATGTAATTGAATAATAATTTGCCAATGTGTGGTTTGCGTGACTGCTAAAGCATGTGTATGCTACTATGCTTATCAACTAGGGGACCTACGCCCTGAGGATTAATGCCCCACAAAAGGGCACTAAAATAGCACATCGACACGGTCTTGATATTGGGGCCTCACAGTTACGAGGCCATTGCTTTGTCACTGAACCATGACTGTACGCAGCGGGGTCTAGGGTAGGGGGGCAGTTTCCATAAATTAAAAAAAAAAAAAATTAAAAATGCAATAAATTGTCAATTATTTATTGCATTTTATCCCGGTCCCCAACTTAAAAAAATCCTCTGGACGGCCATGCATTATGACTCAAGTTGTTTCAAGTTATTTAAGTTATTTTAAACAATCCTTGGACTTGGTTAACACACCGAAATTATCAAAAACTGAGGAAGACACGCGTGGTGGAGCATGATGTACACGTTTGCATAGTTTCGTTCGCTAATTACTTGTTCCAGCCTCCTGGGTGGATGATCCCGTCTCACTGCTTGATTCATGTGCATTCGCCGATTTCTTGTTAAAGTCCATGACAGCAGCTAGTTCTGAAATGGAGGAGCAAACAATAAATGTTATGGGGCCGTAAAATAATGCCTCGTCACAGAGTTTAACTAAGATATTTGGTTTCAATACGGTGCCAGGTAAAAATGTCAGAGGTAAAAATGTCAGAGGAAAAAATGTCAGAGGTAAAAATGTCAGAGGTAAAAATGTCAGAGGTAAAAATGTCAGAGGAAGAAATGTCAGAGGTAAAAATGTCAGAGGTAAAAATGTCAGAGGTAAAAATGTCAGAGGTAAAATGTCAGAGGAAAAAATGTCAGTTGTAAAAATGTCAGAGGTACAAGCAAAAAAAATGAGTGCCGTCATAATATCTCAACACTTTTATCACACAGAATGTTGAGACGTACTGCTACTGCATGGGCTAGTCTATTATATTCCTTTCTTCCATAATGTAAATTTTATAAATGGCTGTGTGTTGTATTTCGTACATGTCCCGAGGATAATACAATGTGGAAAATAGATTTTGAAATTTATTTTGTTGTGATCAGGCTTGCATATAATGAATGTCTAACATTTTTTTGATATTTTGAATTGGTTGATGTGTTAATGTTTGTGAAACGGACCGGTTTGGCCGGTGGCAGCCTGCAACATAGCCCGTGTAACATTCCAGAGACGAACAAAGACCAAACGAAGAAATGAAAATTTTCGACAAAAGTCAAGTGTTAAAGTGAGTAGTGCATTTAGTACAAAATAGTTACATAATCACGAGGAATCACGAAAAGTTACATATAAGGGCTGGGCGCCCCGAACTCTGCTAAAGCTTTTAGCACCTCATGGCGGCAAAGGAAGTGGAGTAAGAATGAGAAAAAACAAGAAGTCGCCCGAAAAGTAAAAAGTCGCTCCGAAAACTAAAAACCCACTCCAAAAAGTAAAAGACCGTCTCGATTCAGAAGCTCATCCCCATTTTAAACTCTCCGACAATTATAAATAACGATGTAATTTAAACCGAACCTCTGCAAAGCGCGCGCTTCTCTAAAATGTGATGGTGCGGTTGGCATTTAAAGATAAAGTTGAGTTCTGGTCTTGCGATTGCATTGTGAAAGAAACGGTGTGGAAGCAATCAGAAAAGGTTGATCATCTAGCATAAACATGTAAGTATTGGTGTGTAGTGCAAGGTTTTGGAGTCATCAAAATGATAAAATCTTTGGTACACAGAAAGATATTGATATGGGACTACACAAACATATGGCATACAAATCGGGCCTCATTTTAAAGCTGTTACTTGTCATATCTGGGATATGAAGTCATATGAAATAGATTTTCAGGGAATAACTTTTTTCTTTGATGTTCTTCCACACTTGCATAATAAGAATGATAACAAACGCTCACACATTATTGTTCACCTTTCCCCAGAACTCAACCTTCTCTTTAATTGATGTAACATGGGCGGCTTGCTGCTTTGTATCGGAGTAACAAAGCTGCTTATTGATTTTTCCCAGACTACTTTATACCGCAATAGTAATCGACAATATGTTATTGCAACGTGCGCACTTCGGGAATGTGATGGTGCGGTTAGCACTGATAACATGGCTTTCTGCTTTGTTTCAGCATGGACCCTACTTTCAGAGTATCAAAATACCAAGCCCACAAGAAAGTGGAATTGTCGGAAATATGCATTTATTGGAAATTACATATAATAGTAGTCATTGCCACACAGTTGAAATGTCAAACAATCTTCAAAAGTGAAGAAGTGGGGGGGGGGGGGGGGGGGGGGGGGGGGGTCATAGATATCTGATCATATTTTGTGGGCTGTACTGACTTTTCTTTTTATTTAATGATTACAACATGGAGCGACAACTCAGCCTATAAAACATGGCCAAACTTCTCGATTTTAGAAATCTTTTCCCCCAGAAGTTTGCTCAGTGTACCAGTACCATTTGCTTATACAAAAGCATAATATACCGGTATATTAATATTGAATAAGGCAGACTAATGGGACATGCATGGTTGCTACTCCGAGTTTCACGCCTTGCAAGCGATCATCAGACAACTGATAGCTTTCGTCAAAGTACATGATTCCTCTACAACCTTGGTACAAATACGCTCAAAATAAGAGCTATACAATACAATAAGACTACAATACCTGAATACAATACAATAAGAATACTCATGAGTAATTCCAATTGTATTTTATTAGTTAAGTCTTATTTTAGGGGTATTTGTACCGATTTAAGGTTGTAGGATAACCATGTACTTTTAAGAATGCTATCAGTTGCCTGATGACTGCGTGCAAGGCGCGAAACTCGGAGTAGAAACCATGTCCCATTAGTCTGCCTGCTCTGCCTAGGCATTGACCACTGTTCGGAAGGATATATAGCAAAGCATATAAGAGGAAGGGGGAGAGCAGCCGGGTTACCGTGCCCCAGAAGAAGATTCCCCCCCCCCCCCGTCTTCCTTCGACAATAATCGAGCAAAAAGTCACATTTTGGGGCATAACGACTGCAGAATATCCCTCGCTGTTCTTTTTCGATAAGCCTAATATATAACCCGGGTGTAACCATAACAAACTTGTCACATGCTTTTGTTTTTATTTTATACCTCTAACATTTATACCTCTGACATTTTTACCTCTGACATTTTTTCCTCTGACATTTTTACCTCTGACATTTTTTCTCTGACATTTTTACACCGAGCCTTCAATACACCAACATGAATAAGTTTCCACAGCTTTAGCAAAAAAAGAGAGATACGAATTGTGGGATACAAAGTTAGTTTGAGAGAAGGATTTAGGAGCGGGACAATTTCTTACAATAACAAGATGATAGTCAAAGGAAAATACTATAGGCCTAAGATATTCGATTGTTTATGAGAAGCTTGGTCGTAAAAAGACGCCGCGGGTTACACTTTAGCGGAGTTTTCCCTTTAGCAGCTTAAAGGTATTACAAAGTTTTGATATGGGTCATAAATTAGGTTCAAATGAACATATTGGAAGCATATGGGTTCCTACAATATATGATCGTTGTCGCGGTTGAAATCGAGTCTAAAGTTATGAAATTATAAATAATAAACTCTTTATGTTGTATAGCTCCCTCTCAAGGTCAAGATATTAATTTAGCTATGAAACAATGTTTCTTGACTAAAATCGACTGATTAGCTATTCCCGTTTAGAAATTATATATCCCAACTACATATTCTGAGATTTTCATGGTCGCAGCTACCATTGAACGGCCGTAGACACCGGTAAATTTTTATTTTCAATTTCTCTCGAAAACAGAAGTGTTTTAGGGGCTATTTTTTTTTAGTACTTATAAAACATCCACAGGGGCATCCAAATATATCAAAATTGTAAAGATTCACTATCCACCCAATTTTCAAAATTTCCCAAAACTTTGTATTACCTTTAACAGACGCCTCATGAATAAGAAAAGGAGTAATTGATGTAATGTGCCTTCTGTAATTTCTAAAATTATGTTTTGATAAATCATAGGGGATGCCCAAACTATAATTGCTCAATTATTCAGAGTGGGGTTCTGGATATATTATCGCTGTAAAATTTCGGTGAATCATGTAAAATGAAACGCAAGGAAATGTCTATATAACCCAGGGGTAGGTCCATTACTCATCATGAAGTATTAGGTTCTAGGACACCAACCCCCTGGACATCAACCACCGGATAATACCCCCTAGGACAAATACCCCCTAAGACAGCTACCCCCTAGGGCAACCACCCTCAAGGGAAACTACCCCTGGGACCCTAACCCTTACCCCAACCCCAATCATAACCCTAATTCATAACGGAGCTCGCATGTGAATGAAGCGAAGTTAAGGATATTTACACATACCGGTTTATCTTTTGTGTTAGATCTCTATGTATCGGTAAAATTTGCTTCTGTATGATGTTTTCGTTCACACAGTCATGTTTTAGATTCCCTTTTAACGCTCTGCGTGCGTGTGTGCGTGTGCGTGTATGTATGTGCGGGTGGGGATGTGGTTTTTTTTAATGAATGAAATTCCCGCTTACATTGTAAGAATCTTATGCAATTTATTTGTTTTCTTTGAGCCCTTTTTCTCCACTCCAAAATGACCTCAGCAGGGGCGGATCCAGGATTTTCCAAAAGGGGGAGGCGTGAAATGAAAAAAAATTCGAAAAGAGCGAAGCCTTTACGGCTCTATGAACCTAAAAATGGTCTATAGTAAATGCGTAAATTGAACATTTACGTGCATAATTATTTCTTAGCTTTTTCCCATTTTTTTTTTCTCGGAAGGAGTAAAGGGGGCGTGCGCCCTACGCCCTCTTCCTGGATCTGCCCCTGCTAAGTGACCTAAAGTGAGGATTTTAAACTGCCAACCTTCACTCTGGACAAAAGCTATCCAGAAATCTATTAGTCCCGCATACTCACCTTCGAAGGATATATCACCATTGTCATCGAGATCCAAATCGGCAAGCATCTCGGGGATATCCTCTTGGATGACGTCATCTTTCAAAACTTCGAGAACCATTCGAAGTTCGTCTTTCCTAAAAGCATGAAATGTTACATAATGTATTCAAAATATATTATTCTGATCGAAATGTTATTATGATACTGTTTTCATTAAATTTGTTTTCTCTCACTCTTTCCTTCTCAACCTCTCCCTATTTCTCTCTCTTTCGCTCTCTCTCTCTCTCTCTCTCTCTCTCTCTCTCTCTCTCGCTCTCTCTTTCTCTCTCTTCCTCTCCCTCATTCTTTCTCTCCCTCGCTTTTCCTCCCTTATTCCAATTCATCTTTCTTCGTTTCCTTTTCTGTCCTCTCTCTTTTCCTTCCCCAACCCCCTCTCTCCCCCACTTTCCCTTACCCTCTTTCTCTCTCTCCAAACTCTTTCTCCACCCCTCCTCTCAATTTCTCTTTCCCCTCTATCTCTCCTTCTTCTCTTCATCTCCCATTCTCATCTCTCGTCCATCTCGTCCTGCCAATGGTCAGAGGATTCATTCTCATCTCTCGTCCATCTCGTACTGCCAATGGTCAGAGGATTCATTCTTATCTTCACTCATACGCGGTGTACCTATAAAGCCGTTTTATTTTAAGTATTTGTTATATATATCTTGTCACAATTTTATGAAATATTTATGTTTTAGACTATGTTAGTTTGCATTTTATATTTCACTTGTACATTTGTATGTTTTTTTAATGTTTTTAATGCTAATCAGGCTACTCCGTCTAAATGTTCATGAATAAATACATAAATAAATATATTATTATAAAAAAGCCAGAAATCTGCAATTGGAATCTGTTTATATTAATGTTCATTCTACTTACTTCATGATTCCTGTATTTTCCTTATCAAAGACTCTAAATACATCGGCGATGATGTTTTTCTCATCTTCATTTCTTATCTCCGACATGATGAGGAGAAAGTCAGTGAAGTCGATCCAACGGCCACGCACTGCAATTTTGCAAAAAGAAATAAGTAATAGAACTAAATCAAAATGTAAAATGTAAAAAAAAATCGTATAATGATTGAGAAAAATAGTTTACCATCGTGACTATGAATTTGGGGCTAGGATCAGGGCCCCATTGCATAACACTTACCACTAACTTGGTCATCAATATTAACTATCGTGGCCACATCACTCAACAACTAATCGATTCAAAGTTTCCATGGAAGCTACCATTAATGGCAATGTTTTCTATTTTAATGCAGACCTTCTTTGGTCATTTGGTTAAAAATAAGGATTAGACGAAATAATTTAGAAGACCGATTAGTCATAAGACAAACTTATTATTATTTATAATTATCATTATGCATGTGTGAATTTGAAGAAAAAAGAAGTTTGAAGAACAAATCATGTTTGGGGTTTGATTGGTTTTCTAATTCTCGTCTTGCATCCTCTGATGAGAAATGCTTTCTGTACACGCTCATGATGTGATACCCTATATACCACTTTCCCCAATTATTTTAAAACATATACATAATCTGATAGTGATACTCTTACCGAAACCATTGGCGTCGTGGAGATCGTTGATGATCTCATTCATCTTAGAATCGGTAGGGTTCTCACCCACAGAACGGAGTAGGAATCCGATCTTCTTGAATGGTATCAAGCCATTCTCCTCCCTGTCCAGGAGTTGGAAGGCATTCTTGAAATCTATTCAAGATAAAGAGAATGAGAAAAAATGAGAGAGAGAGAGAGAGAGAGAGAGAGGAGAGAGAGAGAGAGAGAGAGGGGGGGAGAGAGAGAGAGAGAGAGAGAGAGAGAGAGAGGACAGGTTCTTGTTCTGTTCCATTTAGCGCCGGTATCCGCCAGGCTCAATATGTCAATATGTATGTATGTACGTACTAGATTTAGGAAAATCAAGGTTGACGCATTCTCGATCGCCGACTGAGACGACGTAACGCATGTGCAGTGCCTTAAAATGACGTCACATGTTGCAGTCAAAGCTGTTGACGTGCAAATCTAAAAGTCCCTTTTCTTAAAAGTCCAATAGAGGGAAAATATATAACGAGTATACGAAATAGAGAAAGAGAGAGAGAGAGAGAGAGAGAGAGAGAAAAACAGACATAAAGAGACAAAGAAGGAGAGAGAGAGAGAGAGAGAGAGAGAGCAGATTGAGCGGTACATTATGTATAGGCGAAGAAAGAGACACAGAGATAGACAAAGAGAAACAGTGTGACGGAGAGATAGTGATATACTCTCTTTGAAGGTTTTATTACATTAAATTTATTTCACGAAATTGTTTTCTTTTAACTGGTGAATTGCGATGATATCAATTTGATTTAAAAGTAAATGCATACAGCATTATTTGTTTAAATGGTACAACCTAATTAAGAAGACGGGTGTCAATTAAACGTGATATTTGTACGTCTTCTACCTGGCCCTTCTGTCATAGGAATGAATTGAGGTGAGATAGAAAATACTGAATGTAAATGCTAGAATTACTCCATCCAATGATTATAGGTACATAATGAAAGGCCTGAGGAGCTTTTTAATGGCAGGCAACAGTATTTAATTTCCTTACCTTCTATTTCTTCATCTGTGAAATGTTCAGCCTGCAAATTGATAGAGAAATTGGACAAAAATAATGACATATTATTACAGAGAACTGACATTTTTCAACAATTATTATACATGAGGAAGAAAATGTGGAAATCTACATGTGCTTTCTCCGCAGATACATCCACCCCAATTGTTCAGCTTCTAGATTGGAATATAATTAGATGCTGCTTGTAAGTATCGGCTTGCATGGTGATGTAGATATACAGTAGGCTTGCGGTAACACCATGTGAGAGAGAGGGAGGATTGAAGAGTCCTGAAAAGGACTCTCGGTAACCTTTCTTGAGGGTGTGTAGTCCTGAAAAAGACTGTTGGTTATCTCTCTTAGCTTATAGTTCTAAGGAGAACTATAGCGCCGGTTTTCAGGACTACACACCCTCAAGAAAGTTTACCGAGAGTCCTTTTCAGGACTCCTCAATCCTCCCTCTCTCTCTCTCACATGGTGCTACCGAAGGTGCTACCGCAAGCCTACTGTTTGGGATATATTGTTTCTACGCTTGAGGCATATTCTATAGTTAATAGTGTTTACACACTCACTTCAAGTTGTATAGGTTTAGACGTTATTTATTCAGATCTTAACATTGAACCAACCCATCGCTGCACCCTGATACATAATTATTTAAAATATTTCCATCGGTGTTTTCTGAGTATACGCCCACAACTGATGCAGGGAAGGAAAATATCCTTCTTTGAAGAACTTTGTAATGGGAAAGGCGACAATTTGACATTCTCGATAGCCGTTATAACGTCACTAACGTGTAAACCTACTTTATTAGTAGTAGCAGTATAGCAGTATTATTATTATTATCATTATTATTATTCATTTGCCTTTGGATTATGATAATTTAAAATTCTCACGCTCAACCATTGTAAAGGCTGAGGTGAAACTGAATAGTCTGATGATCGTCGTTTGTTATTTCATCACAAAAGGTGGAGCGCATGATAAAGGCTCACCTAAAGAGACATGAAATCGAGGTTTGGCTTCAATAACTTTTTGAAAAGGAAAAAAACGCTCTGAATCAATGGCATAGCAGTAGCAGGTATCCTAGTTACCGATTCTTATCAGCCTTACATGATGGGTCGTGATTGTGTATGAATATCCATCGTCATGGCCAGAATTAAAGCGAATAGAATTGAGGTAATAGTTCAATCTCTACTAAAAAAAAGCCTAATCTCTATTATTATGTGCATTTGCCCTACACACTCAACTTCAGTTTTGCAAATGCAATCTAATCCTTTTTATCATAGGAAATTTCATTCAGACAGATAGTGGCTTGATGGTCAGGCCTTTATGCGGAATTGGCCCTCATTTGTGATATTTTGTAGTAATAATATAAAATAATAATTATACTGGATATTTTTATAGCGCGCATAATATCCACCACGCAAGGTCCTCAAGGCTCGAATATTTTCGGTGCTCACAATATTAAAGGCATACCGTTACCTATTTAACACCTCGGTGGAGAGTGGCAAATGTTGATTAATGTCTTGCCAAATGACATTAGTGCCGCGGTGGGACTCGAACCGCGGACCATGCAATCCGCAATCCGGTGGTGTTTTCAATATAGACTACGAGTCCTCTTCATTTACTAGGTTCATTATTGTTACGGGTGCTTTCATTGTGACTGTAATTTCAGTAAATCGAAATGGTTGAAGACATCAGATAATGAACTAACTTTGTAATAATAATAATAGTACTGTGTTAACATTTAGACATACTCTTGTATGATTACAAGTGAATCATTTATACAAATATATCTGGTTCAGAAATAACTACCTCCAGCAATCCAAGTTGTCTTTAAAGAAGACAAAAACAAATTGAACGAATTGGATTTAATATTCACATGAAGGCACTTTAAGCCTAAATAGGGACAGGGTGGGGCAGACATTTGGTTGAGGAGATTTCGATTCGATCAGCCCAGTCATTATAATACAAAGATATTCACAAACTTCCCCGTATTTTCATAGTTATAATCGTATTCGTGCGAGACATCCCGCGAGGGCTGCAACACCAAAAGCGTTAATTTATTTATTTACTTTTTTGTATTTGGGAGCTTGTACATTTCTTGCCTGAATAACGTTTTTCTCATTCGATCTAATGTCTCCGAAGTCCTGTTCTTGGAAATGAGCATTACTATCATTATTAGGTCAATATGAATAAAAATTGTATAAAATGTTGATAATCTAGTCGTGGTATACTGCTTAGGAAAACAATGCGTCTGTAACAATATATCTATAGATGATTGACTGTTTTTTAAAAATAAATATTCTTCTCGTTTTTGATGGCACGTAGCATCACAGTTTGCAGAGGATCACCCGTTTATATTAATAATTAAACTAAGACACTCATATGCTATCATATTAAGGCGCGGATCCAGGCCCCCCCCCCCCCCCCCCCCTGGCACAAAAAAAAAGAAAAAAAAGAAATTGTGATCAGAAGTTTACCTCTTTTTTTGCTCAAGGGGGGTGGGGGTGTTGAGTAAAAAAAAAAGCGCACTATGAACCCCCCCCCCCCCCCACCACACTGAACGAAATATCGGCCGGCGCGATTTTCAAATTGCCGGATGCAAAAAATAAAAAATAAAAATCAGTGCTCACTAACCCCCCCCCCCCCCCCCCCCCCTGAGATTTTCGAATTTCTGGGGGCGAAAAAGAAACAATAATAATAGTGCTCACTACCTCCCTGCTCACTACCTCCCCGATTTTAAAATTTCAGCACACTAAATTCAAATTTGGGCCTCCCCCCCCCCTTAAGAAATCCTGGATCCGCGACTGATCATATTTCTACCGTTATCTTAATAGATTTAACATAACGTTGCCTCATAGTGTTTATTTATATTTACTACCTTTGTATATGTGGTGCTGTTTTATTCTCGATCTCGGATATTGTAAAAAATAACCCCAATTCAGTTTTGTTATGATTGCTAAGGGTTTGCTTTTAATTAGCAAACCAAGTCAAATCAAATCAAAATATAGCACACATAGGGCGATAATATTACAATAGCTCAAAGTATTAAATCCTTTGAATACCGATTCTTCTTCGCGCAGTCAATTGATCTTTATTTTCTTCTTCGCCGTACAGGTATGAATTCACATGCTGTTTGATCATGGTTATCGGGAGTATGCATTATACATAGCTTATGAAATGACACCTCGGCAAATACATACCATTTCAGATACTTGGCAGAGTTGAAATCTTCAAACAATAAACTCTGGTGCTTTGGTACCACAGTCAAAGGTAGTCTTTGCCCGACAAACAAAGATTTTCAGATGTTTTATGCGAATGACGGTGTAGATAGAGGAGTTTGGTTAAGATCAACCAATACTATAAGACAAGTCTGTGATAACTGTAGCTGACGTCCGTCGTCATGATCAGCATAACCTCAACAAAACCCTTCTAAATTTATAAAGATACTTGATCCAGAGAAAATGAACAGAAGTACCAGTAACTTTTTGCCAACCTCTGATCAAGTTGCTGGTCCCATGCCGATTGCCTGGAGTGCAGCGTACACAGGCCCAAAACTATGACAAGAGACCCAGCTGAATTACAATGGGTTCTGCTTGTTTACCTGAATCTTTACTGATCCTGACACACATTCAATCACTCCTAAAAAGTACACGGATCAGCTGTTTCTACGAGCTGGTACAGTAGGAAAACTGAAAAGCACTACAAACACTTAGGTAATACAAAGTTTTGGTATGGGGTCATGATTTTTGTTTCAATTGAACATATTGGAAGCATATGCGATTTTACAATATGCAATGATCGTTGAAATCGAGTCTAAAGTGATGAAATTGTAAATAAACTCTTTATGGTGTATAGTTCCCTCTCAAGACTGATATTACTTTAGCTTTAAAACAGTGTTTCTTGACTACAATCGACCGATATGATATTCCCGTTTAGAAATTATATAACAAAACTGCATATTTTGAGATTTTCATGGTCGCAGCTACCATGGAATGGCTATAGACGCTATTTGAAATATTTGAAATTTACTGGGAGGACCGGTAAATTTTTGATTATTCAATTTCTCGAAAGCAGAAGTGTTTTAAGGGCTAAATGTATTAGTGCTTTTAATACATCCACAGGGGCATCCAAATATATCAAAATGGTAAAGAATTACTATCCGTCCAATTTTCAAAATTTCCCAAAATTTTGCATTATCTTTAAGCTTATCAATTTTTAAAGAATATTTGGATGATGCTTATTGTGGCTTTTCCAACATTCAGTGGCGGATCCAGGGGGGCCCGGGGGGCCCGGGCCCCCCCCCCCTTGAGAAAAAAATCATGTAAAATCACGTGATTTTTACCTTTTTTTGGGGTTGGGCCCCCCCCCCCCCCCCCTGGCGCTCAAGGGGGGGGGGGGTGCAAATTGAAATTTTTTTGAGGATAAAAAAAAAAAATGTTTATTGTGGCTTTTCCAACATTCAGTGGCGGATCCAGGGGGGGCCCGGGGGGCCCGGGCCCCCCCCCCCCCCTCCTTGAGAAAAAAATCATGTAAAATCACGTGATTTTTACCTTTTTTGGGGGTTGGACCCCCCCCCCCCCCCCCCCCCCCCCAGCGCATTTTTGGCCGGCGCGTTTTTCAAATTTTCGGGAGCAAAAAAAAAAAAAAGAGTTGGGCCCCCTCCCCTAAGAAATCCTGGATCCGCGCCTGCCAACATTAGTCACTGTCTTAACAGGATAAGAAACAATCATAATGCAAATGCATTCTTCCCCATTTTCAGGGTCTTGATTCCGGGTAATACCCTTACAAATCCACTCCCATTTTTCAGATGATGGATTCTTCAAGGCGAGTTTCGAACCCGTAAATTTGTATTTCAATTCCATGTACCACTCTTTACTTTGAATTAGGCCCGGGGAATTAGGCAGTCAAAATTAACCTCTTCTTTCAATGTTTTTGTTAATGAGCGATAATGCTTAAACCGGCATTCCAAATTGCTCAAGACTAAACTGTCATTTGTAATGCAAGCGTTACCGTTTATTCATCCACAAAGAAGGAACCGGAAGAAAAAACCCAGCTTATACCCCCAAACTACCGAAGATTCAAACCCGCACTATTGTTATTATGAATTCTCCCAATTTCAATTCGAAAATTATGTTCATGAATGTCATACAAAGAAGTGTAAGAACGACAGCATCATAGCGTATCTTGTATATGGTTGACAAATACACTGCATCAAATTCGTATTCAATCGGCACATGAAAGATGCCGTAATACAACAAAAAATGCCTTAGGCGGTAAAACTTTATATCTTTGGGAGGCAAAAATTGATCTTTTTCAAAAGTTTCATCATTCCGAACACAAATTTCCCATACCATGGTGTTCATAATACCACAAATAAAATAGCGTTCATAATCCTAAACATTTGCTGCGTCATTTCAAAGGTTCGTTTATCCTAAGGTTCAAAATTACGGAAGTGAAAGAGGGTTTATTATTTCGAAGGTTAGTAATTCTGTAAAAACAATAAGTCATTTTCGGAAATATGAGACAATTTTTCCTTTTAATTTCAAATGCATGTCATAACTTCAAGTAGGCCTACAATTTGTTAAATTTGAATAATATCCTCTCTTATTGGTACCTTAAAATCGACTCGCAAAACACATCTATTTTTTTATACTGCATGTTAATGATCATGATTATTGCTTTCAAATTATACAACAAAATGTCATATTTTGTTCTTTGTTTTCGTGCACTCATGAAAAGTCTATCCACTGTTATGTGTAACAAATAATGGAGAATCCACCCCTTCTTTCCCTCCCTCTTTCTCCTCTACCCTTCTCTCTCTCTCTCTCTCTCTCTCTCTCTCTCTCTCTATCTCTCTCGTTCTTGTTCTCTCTCTCTCTCTCGCCTTCTTCCTCCCTCTGTCACTATTAGATTTTTTTGTTAAACTATCAAAATACCTTACATTATGATAATCGTGATAATAACAATGAAAAGAGCTCGTTATTAAAGGTGAAAAGAAAATAGGTAAAATGCAGTGTCATGAAATGATTCAATCGCGATTTTTTATATTTTTATGAAAAGATTATTGATGCAAGGACTCTTCCTATACGTACGATCTTGTCGGGGATTTCACTATGGTCATGCATGCAATCGATGAAGTAGTTTTATCGTACTTTAAATCCATTGATATATCTGCCTGGTTTTGGTTCAGTGATTAAGAATATTTGAGTTTACGACAAAACTTGAAATAGAATATTGACCTGTGGGTCATGAAGTATACAGACAAGGATGTAGAGTAAGCTTCTATTCTGCAACATAGTCAACATGTGGGTGGAAATAATGATCCGCGTCTGAAATACAAGTCATTAATGATAAATATGCGGGTCGATCTTTGCAGTAGTATTTTAGAATTTCAGAATTTAGAATATGAGTGATACAATTATGTTAACAGTAGGTTCATTGTACCCTTTAACTGATATAGGGTACAAAATAATAGTTATGGTATCTGCTGTTTGGAACCAGAATAATTCTGTGTAATTATGTCATGAGTTACCGCCACTCTGCCTCCAAACGGACGTTGTGTACTTTTGACAGCGACAGCATTGCAGTAGAAAGAATAATTTAAGATTTAGAACGTCATTTGCTTTTTTATCATAGTTTTGGTGTGGGTTAAGTTCAAATTAATAAATTGTTCAAGAACACATTCTCAAAAGAAAATTATGAATATGAAAATGGCACGAGATACACGATGGCTCATATCCAATTGATTAAAGTGAACCAATAGGAAGGAAAATGGTGTAATAAATATATTTTAGGTGATATTAAATATCACCATACCAGGCCTCATATACTTACAACAAAGACTTGTTTGAAATACTGAAAGAAGACATGGAAAGGCATGAAGTCACTGAATGGGTGATGGTAAATAAAGACCATAATTATACACTTGAAGATCTCTATGTGCTCAACAAAAAGCTCCCTCTATGGTTGTAAGGTATGGTGGAATAAAATATTTATAATAAACAGCGTAGTAAGACACCGAGTAAGATAATCATATTCTTCCATTATGCCATACGATATATTATGAGAGACTCAAAAATTGTCTTCGTTTGGAAGTGGAATTATAATTATAATCGAAAAATGCAGCTAGAATATGAATATGCAATTCAATTTTGAAAATAAAAAGACATTTTGAACAACTTTTTTAATCTTAAATAATCTGTTGTATGCATTCACATCTTACACGTAACATTTAGGAACTTGAGGCACCTGACTGTAATACTCCCTGGGGAGTGGAGTTTTGCTCATAATGTGTGGGCAAGCCTGACTCCGATGAATCAAATTTGAATTCATACAATGATTCTTCTCCTTTCCCTTCTTCTTCATCTTTCTCTTCCTATAGTTGTATTATTGATAGCAGCAGTATCACAATAATGATTATTATCATCATTATTACATTTAGTATCATTAGTGTGGTGGGTATAAATTAAAGTTAATTTCGTAATTATTGTCATTATTGTTGTTATATGTTATTGTTAATATTCTTATAATTATTGTTATGTTTCTTCTCCTTATCATAATAATATTTTGCAATACGTTATGTGCCAAAAAAATTCGCTATGATATATCAAAGATGTCTACCAAAAGTGTCGATTCGTTACTGAAATATTATCAAGAGAAAATAAGAAACATTATAGAATTCATATTTCAAATTGAAATAAAATATAAAGAAGAAATAAGTAGAGATTACAATCCTGACAAAAGAAAATATGTCATAAATTATTGTCTTTAAGCTTACCCTTATTTCCATCTGGCTCTAGTTTTGCTTGGTTATTTGGTACTCGATGATGAACACAACATGGACACAATGAGCTTGTTTACTAATTGATGAATTTAATAAAAAGTTTACATAATTTAAAATGATTACTTTCTGTTTTCCATGACCCTCGGGTATAATGATCTGTCTGGTTGCTGGTTGCAATAAGGTTGGTGATGGACGTGAGCGCTGGGCTGTTATAATGAAAACGAATAAAGAAATATTGGATTTTTTAAAGGAAATATTATGATTTTCAACAACATGGAGAAAGTAGAAAGCAACTATAGCTTTAGAATTCTGTTTGCTTATGATAAAAAATATGAGTCTATTCAAGTAACAAAAAGAAAAAGCCATAGTGAAACAGAAGCCATCGTACATCCCAGTGATGGTGTGGACGGCTTAAGTCAATAAGTCAAGTAACAAAAAGACCGTTGCGATGGAAACGGAATGTTGAAGAAGTTGTTATTTTTATACCACGACCCCTCCTAAAATGAGAATAAAAGAACCTAATCAATACAAGGAAACATTGGAATATAATACTATAAATGAAATAAACTAGGTATCAATTTGAAATTTCAGGACTCATGACCAAAATTCGTTTAACAGTTTATTCCACTTGGTTGATTCTATTGTTTGGATTATTTAGTAGAGAGAA